ATGTTTCTGCTTCAAAATTTTTGGATATCATCCAGAAGGGTTACATGTGATATATTATATCCCAAACACTCTCCAACAACTGCTGAATAACTTTTAAAGGAACATTAACATTGATAATATGCCATTTCCAAGCTGCCAAAAAGTGATTGTGGACTATAACTTGTCACTGAAACAATATTTCTGCTTCAAACTTTTAACAAAATACTCGTGTTACCTTGTTTTGTCTAATTCATACTGGCTGCAAGATTTACCCACGGTGGTACCACAGGAGCTGTGCCAAGAAGCCCCGCAAGACCAAAAAAAACCCCATTTGTTTGTGAAGCATGCTGGTCAGAGGGTCGCTGTCAATGTTTCAATGTTTTTGAAATGTTTCTTGTTTTGTATCGTCGTCTCCTATAATATTTATTGGTTGTTTATTAATTCATTAATTTATGTTCGTGTTGCTGTGTGTGTTTCTGTGTTGTTCACAACATTAGAGTTCAGCTTTGATTGCAATTTGTTTGTAGGATGATTCAATTATTTTGTGTTTCCTAACATGTTAGCATAGTTACTGTATGCAAAGAATTAATATATATGTTGTTCCATGGTTTACTGGTGTTGAGCTTCCGCTATACCCCCTGTTTCTGGTCTATTTGTTAGTTTATTTTAACTGGTGGTTTCTTCTTTAATTAGATGTAATTATTTGTTTTTGGTTTTCGTTTCAATTAATAAGTGCTGTATTGGAATGACATTTTTATTACCGTTTATTTTGTCTTTCCTATTACTTGGTGTTCCTAATGTGTTTAAGCAGATCTCCTCCCACCTGTTTCCATTTGGCCATTATCCTTTTTTTGTGTTATTTTTGAATTACAACATTTTTGAAATTTGACATTTTATGCACAGGTTGAAAATGACATATTATCGGTATTAATGTTCTTTTAAAAGTTATTCAGCAGCTCTTGGAGAGTTTTTGGGATATAATATATCACATGTAACCCTTCTGGATGATATCCAACAAGTTTGAAGCAGTGACAAGTTATAGGCCACAATCACTTTTTGGTAGCGCTAAAATGCCATGTTCTCAGTCGTTATTCTGAATAAACAAGAAAGAGTCATGGTGATACTGGCACAATAGGTCTTTATTGTTTTAACTACTATTCGACAGTCTTATAACAAATATGAACAACGAGAGTAGACATACTAAACCTGTAGGCATTAATTATTCCATCGTGATGCATGTAGTCATTCGTGACTGCGCTACCCACTGAAAGCAACCTTCTGATAAGCTTCATAATTCGGTTACAAGAAACGTTAAAGCTCCATAAATGCATATCTTTGCCTAATAACAAAGGCATAAATGTGTTTGGGTGTTTTTTTTTCCCCCCCACGTTATATCAGTTGCACGGAAGTAGCTGGCAACGCAAGTAATCCGGGCGCTGCAGCTTTAAGCAGCTGCGCGCGCTCCCGCGGATGGCAATCAGTTTCTGGCAGACAAAGAGGGTTGGGCGTGGGGCTAGCAACCCCACCCTTTAAAAACTCCAACTGCTACGGAAACAGCAAGTGAATCTCATTATCGACTGAATCAGGGCGAAGATGATCGGCAACCCTTAATGACGGCAGTGGAGAAAAGCCCTCGGGTCATCCACTGCCCGATGCGTCGACCAATTTTCGACCCAAAAGAAACTACTCGTTATGGAATATGGAATGTACGGACTCTGTACCAAACAGGTAAATTGGCCCAGCTTCTATATGAATTTGGGCAAAAGATGACAGTCAATAAAAATCTAAATGATAATTTCTTAATACAATGATCCAAAAATGAAGGATTAAACAGTCCAGTGTCCCACTTGAGTACAAAATAAAACACACAGTCCAAGGCCAGAGCCAGCTATCCCACAACCCAGTTGCACTTCACATGTTGACCACTTTAACAGGAATCAGCAGTTGTCTTCCAGCACCCACCACCCTGTAAGTAGAAGGCCAGTAATCACTCCGGCCTCAGCAACTCAACTCTGCCTTTAGGCTGCAGCATGTAGTAGGATAACAGAGTAACAAACTATCCATCATAAACATATCAGGTCATCCTAGATTTGGTCATATTACATACCTGCACAGAGAGACAAAATATCACAGCAGTGTTTGTAGTGTGGGCTATAAGTAGATTAGAATATCAGTGTAATCAAATACACTTTACTTCAGTTGGTCCAACCTCATCACAGCAAATGTGACACACAAAACCACTGCCAAACCAGTACAACTTCACACAATAAACATGGAGATGAATTAACACAGGCAACACTAGTCCACCATGTTACACTTACCATGCACTGGCCATTTCCTCCTGTGCACTATAAAGCAGCTGTTAGTATGCTTTAGCTCTCCATTTAGAGTGTTGGATGATGATGTTGAACAGCTTTAAGCTCAACCCCCAAAAGGTTGATTCTGTTCATCTGGTCGTAATGTTTTCAGTGGGAGAAACGTTTCGTCACTCATCCAAGTGATTTCTTCAGGTTTCCCTAACCTTATAAACAGTACATTGCATAATGACCGAAGGCACCTAAAGATAGTTCCAGCCGATCCAGGAGAAAAGGGCAACCGCTGCCTAAGCGAAAACTCGTAGTCATCCTGTATCTGAACAGGATGACTACCTGAACATCTCAACTGTTCAGGTGTTTCGGAACAGTTGAGATGCATTTGAGTCTCTGTAGCTTTTAAACCCCAAAACACGCTGCGGCAAAAACCGGTCCTCCTCAAGGATCGGGTCCCCCGACACAGTAATATAGTGGAGGATTGCCAGGATTTGTACATCGGGGAAACCAAACAACCTCTGGTGAAGCAGATGGCACCCAGTCAGGCCAGGACTCTGCAGTCTATTTACATCTGCAGGCCAGTGGACACTCTTTCAAAGATGAGGATGTACACATCCTGGACAGGGAGGAACGCTGGTTTGAGCGCAGAGTCAAGGAGGCCATTTACGTGAAAAGGGAAAGACAATCTCTGAATCGAGGAGGGGGCCTAAGGGTACATCTTTCGCCATCTTACAATGCTGTGATTGCAGCCGTTCCCCAACTCTCTGTGAATGGTAGTGGTTGTTGACCAATAGTCATGAGAATTTGCATTTTAATGATCATCATAATTATGATGAAGGAACTGACCTCCCAGCCCATTGTTCCTTCAGTGGGCTGGTTTCAGTCATTATGCAAATGTACTGTTTATAAGATTGAAACCTGTAGTCAGCTGAGACTGAAGAAGTCACCTGGATGAGTGACGAAATATTTCTCCCACTGAAAATGCTGCGTCCAGATGAACAGAATCAACTTTGGGGGTTCTGTTTACGTTTGTTAGCCACTTGGATATGATAGTAAACAGTAGACAGACAGTAGACACTGATGTGGCTGATTGAATCTTTTGGACTGTGTTCAGCATAATTAGCCATTAATTGGAAGAGGTGTATTGTTGATTTGTCAGCTATTCTCAATGTATGATGAATTATAATGGGTGTTTGTTATCTATTTGTATACTCACTATGGAGAGAGAGTGTGTATTATTGTCATGGTGTGGTGTGTGAGAGTAAGGAAGCAAGATGCAGACAAAAGACTGTGATGCGAGTGAGCGTTTATTTACAAAATGTGAGACTATTAACAAAGTGAGGGCCACAACGGAAACTAAGAAAACAAACTGCAGTGGGTGAGCTAGCATCAGAGGGAGGGTTCGCCCAGCGCATCAAAAAGGCCAGGACCGCCCCTGACTGTATATTTATTTTTTGTTGCCCTAACTTAGTCATCGTAAGTAAGCCTTATTTAGTTTTTCAAGGCAACGAGTTTAAGTTCTGGGAACTAATTAGATTTGACAGCGCTGGTGCTCAGTTTATACCTTTAGTAGTATTGTGAAAATTAACTATATACCAGGTTTTTATTATTGTGAGCTCAAATACAGAAATTTGCAGGAGTGCTGGATTTTTTTAAAAATTTTAACAAGCTAATTATAATAAATGATAAATTGTTTATTGTATCTGTTACAAACAGAATTGTTTTGTATTGACTAGAATTTGGATTTTTGTTTTATTATGGTTTTAATGGTTTTATTATGGTGATATGTTCACCTTTATGGACTAAATTTAGTTTGGTTTGTGGTTGTGGCTCACATCTTTGACACAGAGAACAAGAACACATGGATTTAAATGCAGACTCAGACGAGTGACACAAGTTTCAATGATTTTTATTATAAGTAAAAGATGGCACAGAGCCAGAGGATCCAGTCCAGCACACACACCAGGAAGGAACTGAGAAGGAGACAAGAATCCAAATTAAGGACACTAGGAGAGTTTCCTTCTACAGAGAGGTGATGTAATCCTGATTTACTGCTTCTGGAGTGTAAAACATCGTGTAGGATGGAGGAGAAACCGATGTTTGAGCACACTGCTGGTTGTTGAGAGCAGGTGTGTTGACTGAACTCCACCAGCTGATGGAGCTGTGCTCACTGGACTGGAGAATCCTGCCACTCACTAACACACAAACCAACAGGAGGAGGCAGCAAGACAGAGAACAAAGATGAGATTTTTCTGTTCCAAGCTACAAGATATTGTTACAGTTTATAACTCATCAACCCACCTTTGGTGTGAGCAGCCTCAGCCATTAATGATCAGCGCATCAGCTCTGCTACCTCGTAGGAGTCCTCGTTGAACACCTCCAGTCTCAGCTCCAGATTCAGCCACAGATCCACGTGAGCCCCTCGGCACGCTACAGTCACCAGGCTGTTTGCTCTCAGAGTTCAGCTCCCCTGGATTACTGACTACCTGACAGGCGGCAAACTGCAGTCTACGGCTGTTACTCTGGACGTATATAAATATCTATTAAATTATATATCTTATGATATATAATTAAAAAATTTTTTTTTAAGTATTTACTTTTTCATTCACTTTGAATGAATTAAGTTAATTTTAATTTATAATCCATTCCAACCTATTATATTATGTAATAAAATTCTTTTTTTTTCTTTTTTTTTTTTTTTAATATTCATGCTTAATATGCCTCCCAATCTAAATGATTCAGAGGAATATGGCAAAGCTTTAAAGGACTATTGTTCCCACAAGAGGACTTCAGATTTTGGTAAATAACTTCAACTACCGCAACATTAAAATCCTTGGTTATTTGTTTTATAACATTTGATTTGGCACAGTCATTCACAAGTGCTGACCAATCGTCTAAAAGACTGTGTCTACATTCATTTTGGATCTTTTGGGGAAATACGAAAGAATAAATTGTGTTTTCACCACACTGTAAATGTGTTTCACGTGAACAAAAGGAAATTTTTGCCAGTGTTTTCAGCACAGACACGTAAAATTCAATTTTCTTACGGCAGCTGTGTTTTTCTTCTTTTTTAATAAGTTTCCTGATATTTTGGAAGATTTTACTGTTGACCGTGAAAGACTTCAATTTGAAGGGATTGCTCTTGCATTTGTCAGTACTTTCATGAAAAACGCTCTTTGGATCCAACATGTTGGTATATGAGCAGGTAATATTTTGAAAAAAGTCTTGACCACTCAATCCCCAAAATTGTGTGAATCCTACAGTTGTTGAAATTCCATATTCTCTGTGCCAAGAATACGCTTCTTTACTGAGTACAGACATACAGTTCAGGCAAGGACTATTGAGCGTATAAACCAGAATGCTCTCCACAAAGGTTCCAAGCTGTTGCAAAATAATTTCAACCTCTTGACATAAAAGTGGCTCAGTATGTGTGTCATTTTCATAATCTACCTCAAATTCCGGTGAAACAAAGACGGTCTTACTGCGTTTCATGAAAAAAATGGCCAATGCATATTGTTTACGTTCATGCATCTGCAGATAATCTTTGAGGGAATCAAAAAATTTATTTGCATCGACACTTGGAATTTTGTCTGCCTCTCTCTGCATTTCTTTGATTTGATGATAACAGTCCTCTTTCTTTTTCTTTTTAAATCCTCGAATCAAATCACAGTTTTTCTTAAACAGTTCAATGTTTTGCTCGAATTCCAAACGGCAAGAACTGAGTTCATTGCGTTTCAAATTTGGTAAACCGTTTAAGTGTGGCATTTGAAGTTTTGTCAGTATCTCCGAATAATCATTACAGGTTTCAAATTTAGGTAAAAAAATGATCTGATGACCGGATATGTTGAGAATGTTTGAAGTAAGAGGATTCACGGAGTCTGGGTGTGCATGAGATCTTTTTGGTTTCTTGATAGTTATATACTGATCTGGGAATGAGTCTTTCCTTTTGGTCGAGTGATCGCCTTTGGTTTTGGAAACAAAAGAAGCCGTTTGTTTATTATAGCGATTTTTAAAGAAGATAATCTTTCTGATGTTAAATTGGCATTTACTGTGAAAGGACGATAATATCTTTGTTTTTTTGCTATTAAACATCCTGCTTTCTTTTGGTTTATTTAAGTCATATTCTTTGTGTTTCAAGCTCGATTTTATTTTCTGGAGCCAGTGTGCTCTTCTTTTCACTAAAGAAAGAGAGGAAAAAAGGCACAATTTGTGAATTTACAGCTGTTAAAGTCGTGTTATTTAAAAAACGTGGCTGGTCCAAATTACAAATAAGATATTCTGTTTGGCATCTCACAGTAAATAAAAACACAATCCATCAATTTGCAGGTAACTGAAAACACTACAAAGATGGAACATACAGTGTTGAAGCAGAGGTATTTTGCTGTGTTTAATTTACTGACTTTTAATTTGCTGCCAGTAAATGGCCCCGAAATACCCGCCTCTAGCGTTCAGCCCAACCGCCCCAAAAACAGAAAAATTGATTCATCACATTTTTCCAGTTTTATATAAGCATTAACTCACCTTTGGTACGAATAGCCGTGCAGCTGTAACGGGCCGACTTTCTTGTCTTTTTCAAATATTTCATTAACTTGTCTGACCTGAAACAGGACAAATAATTGGGAAAGAATGAGTTCATCTTAACCTGGGAAAACAGTGCATACAGTCAGATCTGTAATTATTTGGATAATGACTCTGTAAGTATAAAAATGGCAGTAATTCCTAAGCTGCAACATTTGTGTTATGTCCAAATACTTAAGGACCTAACTGTATGTGCTACACTTGGAATCCAAAAAGTATTTTTAGAGACTGTTACAGTTAATATCCAGACTGAGATGATGTAAAATACTTGCTTTTTATGGATGATAGACGGTTTTTTCTTTGCCATGGCAAACTCTCAGATGATTTGTGGTTTCGGTTGTAGTTGGTTTGCGTTGATTGGATTCTCCCAAAAAGTTGTTAAAATTTTTCAATCTAAACAGAAAAAAAATATTACCTGTATTACCACAGCATGTTAGATACCACACACTGAAAGCTCTCATATCACATGGATACTCTTGTATCCATGTAAAATTACATGCAGCAGGTATCTGACCTACTTTTATAGATGTTTCTTGTTTTTGTCCTCTCAACAGTTTCAGTTTCTTGTGCAAGGAAAGTGTTGTCCTATCAGGCTTTCTTTTAAAATTGCCCGAGGTGATTAATGTGTGTGCATATGCACGTATACATATTAGTGATGCGCGATACCACTGATTTCCTTTCCGATCCGATACCAAGTAATATTCAGGGTGCTGATCCGATACCGATACTTTATACAAAAACGTATTTTATTTATTGTATCTCAAATGATAGCGTCATAATGATTACAGGACATCAGAATACTTCTTCTTATCACTTAATAATGCAGAGTTCATCACATAGAAATAAAAACTGAAGTTGTGCGCTATTTGAACACCTTGCCTGCTTGCAGCACTAAAGGACTCCATGAGAGAGGTCTGTCTCGCCCTAGCACCACCTGTCCCTGTCCTCCTCTTCAGTTCACCTCAACATACGCTCGTCATATTCTGTGATGTGATTTACTCTGAGGTTAGTGATGTTGCCACAACCATACATGCCAACCCTCTCGATTTTTCCGGGAGAATCCCGGAGCCACCATTCTCCCGAATTTCCACCTGGACAACAAAATTGAAAAACCATATCGCAGAATTCCTATCATGGCCCAGCCAATTCCAGTTTCCAACAATGGCGGCAGCTACTTAGTTTTAATATTACTCTTATTTCTCTTTCTGGGTCGCAAAAAAAAAAACCAAAAAAAACCCCAAAACATTTTAACATATTGTCAGGTGAGAATGTAGCTGTGGAAACTTCAAATATCTGAGCCGACCGACACATCGTTTTCAAACCCCCGCGGGCTTTCGCTACTCGGGTTAAACATGATATATAAGTCACTTTGATAACTTAAAAATGTTATTGTTTGCCTTTTTCAGTGTTTTATTTGTTCGTGAGTAAATCGGTTTGGCTGAGAATAAAGTTATTAGATTAGATTAGATTAAATTTAACTTTATTAATCCGTCGGGTGGGTTCCTCCGGGGTTTTCACACAGCTGAATAAACATCAAACAGAAAACTAATTAAAGAAAGTGTGAGACGGTCGAGAGTTTACTCCAGCGCCCGGTTATATTTTAGATAGCAAGGAGCAGACGGCTGAGTTTCACTCCACCGAGGGATCCTGTGACGTACTACCCGGCTTTCTTTAGACCGCGAAGGCCGGGTCCTCAGGTGGAAGCAGCCTCTGAATTTGGACACCCCCGCTGTTTCCGGGCCGGTGTTGTGCCAAAAAGTGATTGTCTGCCAAAAACTGATTTCCGGTATTTGCCAAAAAGCGATTGCTCATATTTAAAGTGCTATAAGTAACTTGTTGGGCTATAATATGTTAAACATATGTCAAATGCATCCCTTATGGATGACATAAAGTCATCTTGAGCCACAAACAACATTCGTGTAGCAAGATACAAGCCGCAATCAGTTTTTGGCAGCGACTTTTATATAACCTTTATTTATGCAGTAAAAAAAATCTCATTAACATTAAAAATGTATTTTGTAAGAGTAAGTTGCCCAACAGGACAGCAGAAATGGCAGCAAATATTACAATAGTTCTGTAAAAATATTTTAAGTGGGGATAAAGGACCGGATTGGTTATAATGTAAGTACAAGTTGTAAAGATACTTAAAAAACAGATAATTTTTTAATTCTTTATGTAACCCCTTTGTATCCCCTGTTCACCGAAGTCTATTTACGAACATACGTAAAGATATTACACATAAAAAATACACAGAAACACTGGAAATCAGTTTTTGGCAGACAATCACTTTTTGGTACAACACCGGCTAACAATAACGGTGACATATAATATCGACATTTTAATGTGAGAATTGATTCTAGAACATAAATGACTGCTATCGGAGGAATCGATATTTCAGGATCGATCCGCACATCACTAATACATGTAGCTGTAAGAGCCAGAGAGATCTATATCTGTGTGTAGACAGATAAGATAACTGCTCTACGGTACTGAACAGGTTTACTTCAAGAAAATATCTGAGCCAAATAAGCTGATACCAAATCATTAGGGTTTGTTGTGTTCTAATAGTAGAGTTGAAAGCTGAAACATGCTTTTTTGATCCATAGAGTTTGTTACATTGTTCACCTCACTGCCTAAGCTGCCACACAAACTCAGATTTTTATTATTAACCCTAATATGTATCAAAAACAACATACAAAGAACAAAGAAACTTACCTACGAGGCAGCAGAGCTGAGCAGTGGTAAAGTAGATCTGACACGATTTTATAACCATACCTGAGCATGTGACCACTCTAACCCCTCCCCTTTCCTACCTGATCATATTACATTTATACTGACACAAATTACCGTAAATGGTACCTGAACCAGGGAACAATAATCCACATCACACCCACTTTCAGTTTTCATTACTCTGAAATAGCACTAAAATTTTTCATCATTTAATTGAAAAGTGTTAATAATAAAGTCTATATTTTATTATTTCATTATATAATATTTATTATATCATATATTAAATCTATGTAACAAAGTCAGCCTTTATAATGTCTATTTTAGGGAGGTACAGGAGCAATGTGTCGGTTAATGGACTTATTGTAGTATCACTACAGTGGTTGATAAACTGTTTACTTATATTACTTACTAATTATTATTATTATTACTTATTGCTTATTTATTATTACTTATTTATTTATTTAGTAATATTATTACTTATTACTTATGTATTTCAAATATGAAACAAAGTAATCTTGATTACTGTGAGTGTTATCTGAACCAGGTAGCAAAAATGTACAACACTCACACACTCTCAGTTTTGTTTCTCTGAAGTCACTGTGGGTGTGCTTAAGTGTTTATGAGTTAACCGGAAAGTGTTACATAGCCTCCTGTCTGCCACACAGCGCTTCCTGACACTCAGGAAGACTGCAACAGCAATTACTTATGATGTTCAACATCAGGGAAACAGTCATGTTGCAATAGTGTGCAAAACCAGACCTAAGAATGACTGACGTAACAAGTTAACAGAAGTGACATTTATTCACTATAGCAAAAGTCATCTGTAATGAAATACACACATTTTATTTTATTTTTATTTTTTCTTTCCTTATTCTTTAAGAGGACCAAAATGTGCCAAAACAATATTCCCAACAATATTCAGCCTGGACTGCTGAAACAAAGCCAGGCTGGTCAGTGGACTCATGCTGCTCATGCCAAATTCTGATCATCTGCAGCCTCAGTGACGTTTTTTCCTGTCTTCAAATCTCCAGTTTTACTGATCCTGTGCCCACTGCAGGCTCGGATTTCTGTTCTTGGCTGACACAGCCTTCTGCTGTTGTAGTCCATCTGCCTCAATGTGTTGTTTCACTCTGAGTTGCTTTTCTGCTCACCAGGGCTGCACAGAGTGGTTACTGAGTTACCATACTCTCTGTTGGCTCCAAACACTCTCATTTAACTCTAGAGACTGTTGTGAAAATCCCAGCAGATCAGCAGTGTTTAAACCAGCCCGTCTGGCACCGCCAATTACGCCACAGTCACCGAGCTCACATTTTTTCCCGTTCTGATGTTTGATGTGAGCATTAACCGGAGCACCTGACCTGTGTGTGCGAGATTTTATCAATTGTAGTACCGCCACATTCTAATCTGACTGGATAATCACATGATTATCCAGGTGTGCAGGTGTTAGCCAAGCTGTATTTTTTGGCTTTTTTCACAGCAGATGTTTCATAGCAGGGGAAGCACAGGTGTAACTGATTGCACCGAAAAACAACTGTGCTGTGTAGTTGAGGTAATTACAGTGTCGTGGTATTGTTCATGCTGGTTCACTGTCATGGCTTACTGGGATGTTTGTTGGAAATGAGCCATCGCTACCAAATCTGTTCCTGCTATGACAGTCAAAAAGTCTGCTGTGTACTGAAAAGGCTTCAATTAAAATATGGTGATGTGGTCATGTTTTCACACATGCTGCAATAATGATTAATGATGGAGAAATATACGTGCAGCGTATTTCATAATGTAACAGCACATATGCAGCATCACAATCAACAGATGTCCATGGGCAATGTTTCTGGGCTAAATCTGGCTGAGTGAGAAAAGTCTTTTGTTTTCAGACTGGTATAAAATATCTTTTTTAATTTTCTCTCAAACATTTGAAGAGGCTGAATGTTGGAGAGCTTAATCATGCAGGAGGGGCTAAGTGTACAACAATAGAAACCAAATGAGGCGCTTTGGGCATTTGACGCCTCCAAAATGTCAGGTTTTGGGTATGTTTTCTTTTTTTTTTTTGCCTGTCCCGTTTGGCTCTTTTGCATCAGAATTGTTGTCTAAAGGCAAAGAAAGATGCCCAACAGATTTACTTTACCAAACTGACCATCCCAGCCTTGCCGTAATGGTCCATTTGATTCACCTTTTATTGTTTATTTTATTTTCACTTGCTGAATACGGGACAGACTTGACTGGGGGAAAGAAAGAGGGAAAGAGAAACAGCTGAGAAGAGGGACGGGGGAGAAGGGCAAA